AACGAGATAATTCCGGAAAAAAAGACAGTTGAAAAATTTTTGTTTTTTTTAATCATATTTTTTAAATATCCCAAAAATGGTTATTTTTAATTTTGTGGTTCTGAAACCTCGGCTGGAATTTTCAAAAATTTGTCTAAAAATTAAAAACAAATCTTGGATACAGACATCAACAAACTGATTCTAAAAATCTTATATGTTGATGGTCCCAAATTAATTAATTTTCGGAATTTTGGGTGTTAAAGTCAAATTTTTAAAATGCCCCTAAAATGGCCATGTTATATATTTTTGAAGTTCAGGAAAATTGCATGGAATTTTCAATAAATTTTGTCGAAAATGACTTTTGCAAATCGATATCAACCCAAAATTGCTTGTGGGCAATATTTGAAAGTGCCCAGAAAAAGGTGAAAATTTTCAAAAGGGGAAAACGTTGAAAGTTTAAGCTTTAGGAAAAGTTGTCTAATAATCAAGAAAAAAAAATGGGATTTAGATAACAACGAGATAATTCGGGAAAAAGAAATACTGTTGATGGTACCAGATCAAGATTTTCAAAATTTTTGTTTTTTTTTAATCATATTTTTAAAATATCCCAAAAATGTTTTTGTTTGTGTTTCTGAAAAATCGGTCGAAATTTCCAAAAATTTGTCTAAAAATGAAAAAAATATCTTGGATATAGGTATGGACGAAGAGATTCGAAAAATATTGTCTGTTGATGGTCCCAAATTAATTTTCGGAATTTTTGGTGTTAGAGTCAAATTTTCAAAATATCCCAAAAATGGCTATATTTAATTTTCCCGGTTTTGGAAAATGTGTTGGAATTTTCGAAGAAATGTGCCGAAAACGACTTCTGTAAGTCAAAATCAACACAAAATAGCCTTTAGGTAATTTTCGAAACTGCTCAAAAAAGTTCAGAAAAAATGGAAAATTTGGGCTTTTTGCCTAAAAAATCAAATTCGAAAATTCTAGAATAAAGATGTCAACGGGCTGCTTCGGAAAGCATAGCGTGTTGATGATCGCAAACCAAGATTTTCGAAATTTTCGATTTCAAAATCAAATTTTTAAAATATCCCAAAAATGCCCTTACTTTATATATTTTTGTGGTTCTGGAATTTTCAACTAAATTTTAGCGAAAATGACTTCTGCAAGTCGAAATCAACACAAAATTGCTTATTGGTAATGTTCGGAAAAAGGTCAAAAATTTTCAAAAGGGGAAAATGTTGAAAGTTCGAGCTTTTTCAACGAGATAATTCTGGAAAAAAAAGACAGTTGAAAAAATTTTTGTTTATATTTTTAATTATATTTTTGAAATATCCCAAAATTGGTTATTTTTAATTTTGTGGTTCTGAAACCTCGGCTGGAATTTTAAAAAATTTGTCTAAAAATTAAAAACAAATCTTGGATACAGATATCAACAAACTGATTCTAAAAATTTTATATGTTGATGGTCCCAAATTACTTAATTTTCGGAATTTTGGGTGTTAAAGTCAAATTTTTAAAATATCCCAAAAATGGCCATATTTAATTTTCGTGGTTTTGGAAAGTTGGTTGGAATTTCTGCAAGTCAAAATTAACACAAAATCGTCTTTTGGTAATTTTCGAAAGTGCTCGAAACAAGTTCGCAATTTGGCCTTTTTGCCTAAAAATTCGCAAAAAATTCTGGAATAAAGATGTGGACGAGCTGATTTGAAAAACATAACGTGTTGATAATCAATTATTCACAAAACAATATTTTCGAAATTCCAAATAAATTTTTTAAAGTAGGTATGTATTCTAAAAACGGCGAAATTTTATTTTGGTGATTTTGGAAAAGCATACAATCGAAATCAACAACAAATGTCTGTTTAGTAATTTTCTACGACGTTCGAAAAGAAGTCAAAAATTTCAAATTATTGAAAATTTGGGTTGTTGGTAGAGTGTTGATGGTCCCGGACCAAGATTTTCGAAATTTTCGATCTCAAAATCAAATTTTTAAATTATTCTAAAAATGGTCGTACTTTGTTTTATTGTATCTGACAAAGTGCTTATAATTTTCGAGAAAATGATTTCTCAAATAAAAATATATATATATTTTTTTTGATAATTTTCGAAAGTGCCCGGAAAAATGTCAAAAAATTCAAAAGGGAGTGTACTGAAAATTTGAGCTTTTGACAAAATGGCCTGCCCGCCCACCCGCCCTGTCTCAATTGTGATGATTTTTTTTATTCGCCGTGAACCAAAGGGGCGGAGCTTAGCTGCAAAATGCTTATTTCTTCACAAGAAATTAAAAATATGTTTTTGAGTATCGGGTTATTCAAAGAATACTATGTAAGGGTGTGGGGACAAAAAATCTGCACAAATTTCAAACTAGAATAACTGTATTATAAAAGCAGGTATTAATAACGTGATCAACAACATTTATAAAAACAACTTTAAAGAACACAATCTGCACCATATCTACTTGCTTTACGAATTTTTGTTTTAACACGGCGCATTAAATTTGTAAAAGCCGATATTTTTGTTTGCCGTATTTTCAGCAGTATACGCTTCTTTAATTCTGCATGTGTCGAGGCTTCCCATCCATTTTCGTACCCATTTCTCTTTAGGTTTCTCCAAAAACGTTCAATTGGGCGTAGTTGAAGTACGTTGGGAACATTTTTGTCCTTAGGGATAAAAGGAATGCTTAACTCATTATATGCAGCAAAAACGTTAGCTGCGTAATGAGCTGTTGCCATGTCTGGCCAAAATACAAAATTGCCATCCGAATGCTTTTCTCTTATAAAGCGGACAAGTCGAGACCTAATGCACTATTTTTCATAAATATCTGCATTAACAGAATTTCCAGATGGGCAAATAAACGCAGTAGAATGTCCACGTGACGAAATGGCCAACCAGACCAACAACTTGGACTGAAATTTTTTATAACGTTTGAATTTCACTTTATCATCTACTTCTTCTCCTTCCTTGCAATAGAAATGTTTATTGTTAGCAGTATCGCTACCATCAAAAGTGAAGTAGGATTCGTCATCGATGATTATTTCAGTTCCATTTGAGGGGGAAAAAGCGGATTCAGAAAGATGCCTTAATTTTCGTTTTTGTTCCAACTTTTGTTTTTCTGAATATTTAGGGGCGAATTTTCGCGTTGCAAGTTTGACATTATTCTCCTTTAATATGTTGCTAACATACTTTTTGTCAATTTTAAATTTCGGTCCAATCTTTCTTAGTGAAACACCAAATTTACCGTGACTTTGATTGACTAAGGCTTCTCTCTTCTTCTGGGACATTTTTCTTGCTGGTCTTCCGCTTCCTACTTGTCTTTCTACCGAATTCCCATTCTCTACTCTTCTGCAAATGCTATAAGTTGTCCTTTTTGATATCCCCATTTGGAAGAAGTGATTAACGGTGAATGACTTTTTTAAATGCATATGCCTTCTATAAAATTCGGCAATCACAGATCGGCGATCATTTTCGTTTAAGTGTTCCATTATTACAAAAAATATTGAAACTTTCAAGAGGAACTAGGCATAACAATTCTTAACAACTGTAAAAAAATGTTATAACGTCAACCGTCATTTTTCTCAAAGCTAACTCGATTTTCGGTGAATTAAAATTTGTGCAGATTTTTTGTCCCCACACCCTTAGATTTAGAAAAAAGTCAATATATACCACGCCCACCCACCCCATCTCAATTGTAGTGATTTCTTTATTCTTAGAAACTTAAAAACACGTTTCAAATGGTAACTTTTGTAAGGAAATATGGATTTTGCAATTAAATTCCGCTCCTTTGGCTCCCGACGATTTAAAATAAAACACCGTCAAGATTCTCCTCTAAAGTTCTTTAAGATCATTTCAAAACAATAAAACACTAGAAGTCTCCAAGATTCTTTCTCACTCTTATAAAAATAGAGGATTCCGTTACAAATTCTTTCAAAAATAAAACTCTTTGGGTTCCCAAACCTTAAAAGAACAAAACCTTTTTCAAACCTTTTCAATAACGACCAGGGTTCCCAAGATACATCCAATACTTAAAAAAAAACAAAATTCTTTCAAACTTTTTCAAACATAAAACACCAGGAACCTGTACACGTCATCAAGTTTTTGAGATGACGTCATCAAGTTTTTGGAGGGATAAACAGATAGATTTTAATTAAACCTTAAATCGAAACGTTTCAAAACGAATCAATCAAAATTGCCCTTTCGTATTTTTGGAAAAAAAAATCAATCTTTAAATACTCTGTCTTAAAGTATGATCAAGTTGTTTTAAAAACATGTAATGTCACTTGAAGGTTAACTGGTGTCATGGATGTTAAATTTATTATTACTTAACGGCGCATGAATTTAAATCCGGCTTACAGATTATTTGAAACACGGTTATTGCATTTTTCATTGAGAGGGTACTTTACGAGCTTATAATCTCCATGCCAAATTACAACGAATGTTATCTGTTCGTATAGCATGTGCCTGGCGTTCTCGTTATCTCGACAGCATTATGTTTAAAATATTTAACTAAAATTAATTAGTTATTACAAATAAGTAAAAAAAATTAAATAGCCCCAGAAAAGGCAAAATATATTTTTTTTAATTGCACTCAGCACCCTTCAACCGCGAATTCCCCACCGCTCTCAATTATCGATTCAAAACCTGCCAAAAGAAAACTCCGCGAGCACTAAACCCGCAACTAATTGGCCCGGAATTTATTGATTTTGGCCGCAATCATCGCTTAATTGTCGAAGCCTAATTGGCCGTCGCCAATCGGTGCATCTTCCCATTCGAAACGTCGCACGCCGTGACTCAGTACCGCCGAATTCTTCAAATTATTTTTATGTTTGCGAATCTATTTCAAGTTAAAAAGTAAACAACAGATGTAGCGGTTTATTAATATGTACCTACACTTGTATACGGTCAAAGCGACTTTTACGCCGATTAAATTATTTATATTTGTCTTGATCTGGTCATCGCTGATGCAATTCCAGTGCGCTCGGATTCCGATTTACGGCCGCATAAAATAAATATTATTCGAATGAAACTATCTCGCTTTCGTCGAGAGATATTTTTAATTCTGTTAATCGTAAGATAAGTGTGTTTTCGGTGGGTGGCAAGCGAGATGGCGCCGTTGCTATACATGCAGAACTTCAGCGGGCCGGTCAGGTCGGTACTTTTGACGGCTGCGGCTATAGGGCTGAAGCTGCAGCGGAGGGTCGTGGATCTGTCAAAGCAGGAACACCTGACCGAGGAGTTTCTGAAGGTAGATGACGCGTGTTTGTTTAATGATAAGGAGGCGTGAGGACGGTGTCAAGGTTAAAAGAGTGACTTTCGATAAGTCAATGACCAGATTGCAGCTGTCAAGAGATATCAGTCAAATATTGGTATTTTTAATTATCGTGAACGCTTTAATATCAGTGTACAAAATATGTGTATATTTTTTTATTTATAAAAATTCATAAATACATAATACATACATAAAAACACCACAATAAAATAATAGTAATAAGAATAAAAATTATAAGCACGTCGCCAGGATCATCAAAATAAACTATGGCCATTTTAAGAATCTTTTTAAAAATGTGAAAAAAGACAAAATGTAGCCCCGCCCACCCGCCTATCTCAATGTGATAATTTTTTACTCGTCGTAAGCCAAGGGGGCGGAGCTTAACTGCAAAATCCTTATTTCTCTAAGAGAAATTAAAAACATGTTTTGTATCGTGTTGTTCAGAGAATATTATGTATATTAAGAAAAAATTAAAGCCAAAGATTAAGCCTCACCCATACCTGCCCTGATCTAAATAGTAATGAAGTTTTCATTCGTTGGCAGATCTAGGGGCGGAGTCTAATTGCAAAATCCATCTTTCCTTACAAAAATTTACCATTTTAAACGTGCTTTAAGTTTCTAAGCATAAAAAAATCATCACAACGGAGATGGGATGGGTGGGCGGGGTATATATTTTGGCTTTTTTTCTTAATATACATAGTATTCTTTGAATAACACGATACTCAAAAACATGTTTTTAATTTCTTGTAAAGAAATAAGTACTTTGCAGTTAAGCTCCGCCCTCTTGGTTCACGGCGAATAAAAAATATAATCACAATTGAGGCAGGGCGGGTGGGCGGGCTTATATTTTGCCTTTTTGTTTTAATATGTGTAGACTTCTTTTCACAACACGGATCTTAAAACATTTTCTATTACGATCGAAATAAAATATTGCCATTTTTGAGATATTTTAAAAATTTGATTTTGAAACCGAAAATTTAGAACATCTTCTCATCAATAGTTCATTCTTCAAATCAGTCCGTCGATATCCCTATGCTAGAATTTTTTTTGTGAATTTTTAGGCCATTTTACCGAAAGCTCAAATTTTTCAATACACTCCCTTTTGAATTTTTTACCCTTTTTCCGGGCACTTTATTTCGAGTTGAAGAAATTGTTTTCGGCAACATTTTCTCGAAAATTATAAGTACTTTGTCCATAAAATAAAGTACGACCATTTTTTGAATAATTTAAAAATTTGATTTTGGAATCGAAAATTTCGAAAATCTTGGTTGGGATCATCAACATGCTGTGTTTTTTCGTCACTTCCAGCCTTATTTCTTCGATTAACTTTTAACCGTTTTTCCACAATCGTCCATTGAAATATCACAATTTTTAAAAATTTCAAAAAATTCGAAATTCGCTCCGAATATTTCGCAAATATTCCTCCGTGACCCTAAACACGCTGTATTTTTGGAATCAGCACGTACAGATCTATGACTCTGAATTTTTTAACAATTTTTAGACGACTTTTTCAAAAATGAAATTTTCCCCATTTTGCAAATTTCGACCCATTTTCGACGATTTTCGAAATTTAACTAAATACATTTTCTTGTAGATTTCGGGTCGCCCACTGAACTATCGCAACTGATAAAAAAATATCTGTAAAAAAATCTTTTTTAGAGTTCTTTCGAAAATTACCGAAAAACATCTTGTGTTAATTTAGACTTGCATAAGTCTAAATCAGAAGTTTTAGACAATATTTCTTATAAACACTTCCAAAATCATTAAAATAAAATACTACATCTATTTTTACAGTACTTTAAAATTAGCTTTTGAAATCGAAAATTTCGAAAATCTTGGTCCGGGACCATCAACACTCTTTGTTTTCCAAATCAGCTCTTTATCATAGAATTGTTGTGAATTTTTATAGAACTTTACCGGCTGCCCAAATTTTCAATAAATTGAAATTTTTGACTTCTTTTCGAGCACTGTGAAAAATTATTAAGAAGACATTTTTTGTTGATTTAGATTGCAGAAGTCGTTTTCGGGAACTTTTCTTCGAAAATGATCAATCAATACTTTTCCAGAATCAAAATAAAATATGGCCGTTTTTACAATACTTTCAAAATTTGATTTTGAAATCGAAAATTTCGAAAATCTTGGTTTGCAACCATCAACACGCTATATTTTTGGAATCAGCTCGTGAACATCTTTATTCTAGAATTTTTTGTGAATTTTTAAACAAAAAGTCTAAATTTTTCATATTTTGAGTTTTGTGAACTTTTTTCCAGCAATTTCGAAAATTACCTAAAGAATATTTTGTGCTGATTTTAACTTGCAGAAGTCGTTTTCCGCAAATTTTCCTCGGAAATTCCAATCGATTTTCCAGAATCACGAAAATTAAATATGGCGATTTTTTTAGATATTTTAAAAATTCGACTATAACACCGAAAATTACGAAAATTAGTTAGTTTGAGACCATCAACACATAATATTTTTAGACAAATTTTTGAAAATTCCGACCGAGTCTTGAGAACCACGAAATTAAAAATAACCATTTTTGGGATATTTTAAAAATTTGATTTTGAAATCCAAAATTTTGAAAATCTTGGTTTGCGACCATCAACACACAATGTTTTTCGAATCAGTTCGTGGACATCTTTATTCTACAATTTTTTTTAGCCAAAAAGCCCAAATTTTCCATATTTTTCTGAACTTTTTTCGAGCACTTTCGAAAATTCCCTAAAAGTTATTTTGTGTTGATTTTGACTTACAGAAGCCGTTTTCGACAACATTTCTTTGAAAATTCCAACCAATTTTCCTGAACCACTAAAATTAAATATGGCCATTTTGGGATATTTTAAAAATTCGACTTTGACACCAAAAATTCCGAAAATTAGGTAGTTTGGACCCATCACAACGCAATATTTTTCGAATCAGCTCGTCGATATCTATATGCAAGATTTTTTTTATTTTTAGACAAATGTTTGAAAATTCCAACCGATTTTCCAGAAACATAAAAATAAAAATTACCATTTTTGTGAAATTTTAAAAATGTGATTTTTAAAATCGAAAATTTCGAAAATCTTGATCTGGAACTAGCAACAGTCTTTCTTTTTCACGAATTATCTCGTTGTTATTTAAATCCCAGACTTTTTTCTGTATTTTTAATCAACTTTTTCAAAAGCTCAAACTTTCAAGATCTTCCCTTTTTGAAATTTTTGAACTTCTTCCGAGCACTCTCCAACATTTTTCCAGAACCACGAAAATTAAATATGGTCATTTTTGAGATATTTTAAAAATTCGACTTTGACACCAAAAATTCCGTAAATTAGGTAGTGTGAGACCATCAAGACACAGTATTTTTTGAATCAGTTTGTCGATATATATATGCAAGATTTTTTTTAATTTTTAGACAAATTTTTGAAAATTCCAACCGATTTTCCAGAAATATATAAATAACAATAACCATTTTTGTGAATTTTTCAAAATATGATTTTTAAAACAGAAAATTTTGAAAATCTTGATATGGAACCATCAACAATCTTTTTTTCCGGAATTATCTCGTTATCTAAATCCCAGAAATTTTTCTGGATTATTAAGCAACTTTTTCAAAAGCTCAAACTTTCAAGATCTTCCCTTTTTGAAATTTTTGACCTTTTTCCGAGCAGTTTCGAACATTACCTATAGGCAATTTTGTGTTGATTTCCACTTACAGAAGTACTTTTCGGCAAAATTTCGTTGAAAATTCCATCGAAATTTCCAGTACCTCAAAAATATGGCCATTTTTGGGATATTTTAAAAATTTGATTTTGAAATCGAAAATTTTGAATGTCTGGTACCATCAAAAGTCTATGTTTCCCATTATCTCGTCGACATCTAAATCCTAGATTTTTTATGGATTTTGGCGAAAGTTCAAATTTTTGACGTTTTTCCTAGCACTTTCGAAAATTATCAAAATACAAGTTTTTGTTAATTTCGACTTTCAAAAATCGTATTCAGCAACTTTTCTTCTAAAAATCTAACCAATTTTCCAGAACCAACAAGAATTACATATGGCCATTTTTGGGATATTTTGAAAACGTGATTTTGAAACCGAAAATTTTGAAAATCTTGATCTGGTACCATCAACAGTTTTTCTTTTTTCCGAATTATCTCGATGTTATCTAAATCCCACTATTTTGTCTAGATTATTAAGCAATTTTTCCAAAAGCTCAAATTTTCAACGTTTTCCCTTTTTGGAAATTTTTGACCTTTTTCCGAGCATTTTCAAACATTACTTATAGGCAATTTTGTTTTGATTTCGACTTGCAGAAGTCATTTTCGCCAAAATTTTGTTGAAAATTCCATCAAATTTTCCAGTAACTCAAAAATATATGAAATATGTCATTTTTAGGATATTTTAAAAATTTGATTTTGAAATCGAAAATTTCGAAAATCTTGGTTTGCGACCATCAGCGCACTGTTTTTCGAATCAACTCGTCAATATCTATTCTAGAATATTTTCTGATTTTTTAGGCGAAAAGCTCAAATTTTCCATATTTTGGGGATATTTTAAAAATTCAACTTTAACACAAAAAATTCCGAAAATTAGTTTTGTACCTTCAACGGATAATATTTTTTGAATCAGTTCGTCGACATCTACATCCGAGATTTTTTTTTTAATTTTTAGTCAAATATTTGGACATTCCGACCAACTTTTCAGAATGGGATATTTTATAAATATGATGAAAATATATGAAAAAAAATTGAAAATCTTGATCATCAACAGCATCAACAGTCTTTCAATTTCCCGAATTATTTCGTTGCTATCTAAATCCCAAACATCTTCTCGATTATTAGGTAACTTTTCCAAAAACTCAAACTTTCAACATTTTCCCTTTTTGGAAATTTTTGACCTTTTTCCGAGCACTTTCGAACATTACCTATAGGCAATTTTGTGTTGATTTCGACTTGTGGAATTTATTTTTGCCAAAATTTCTTTGAAAATTCCATCCAATTTTTGAAAACCTCAAAAATGAATAATAAAATATGGCAATTTTTGGGAAAAATTTCACTTTGAAACCGAAAATTTTGATCTGGTACCATCAACAGTCCTTTTTCCCAAATTATCTCGTTGTTATCTAAATCCCAAAATTATTTCTGTATTATTACTCGACAACTTTTCCAAAAGTTCAAGTTTTCTACATCTTCAATTTTTGAAATTTTGACCTTTTTCCGAACACTTTCGCACTTTCCCTATAGGCAATTTTGTGTTGATTTCGACCTGTGGAATTCCATTTTCGCCAAAATTTCTTTGAAAATTCCATCCAATTTTCCAGTACTTGAAAAAATATAAAATATAGCAACTTTTGGGAAATTAAAAAAAAATCATTTTGAAATCAAAAATTTTGAAAATCTTTATCTGGTGCCATCAACAGTCTTTCTTTTTCCCAAATTATCTCGTTATTATCTAAATCCCAAAATTATTTCTGGATTATTAGACAACTTTTCCAAAAGCTCAAATTTTCAACATCTTCACTTTTTAAAATTTTGACCTTGTTCTGGACACCTTCAAACATTCCCTATTGGCAATTTTCGCCAAAATTTCTTTGAAAATTCGGTCCAATTTTGCAGAACCTCAATGTATAAGATATGGCCATTTTTGGGAAATTTTAAAAATTTATTTTAAAACCGAAAATTTTGAAAATCTTGATCTGGTACCATCAACAGTCTTTCTTTTTCCCAAATTATCTCGTTGTTATGTAAATTCCAAAATTATTTCTGGATTATCAGACAACTTTTCCAAAAGCTCAAATTTTCAACATCTTCAATTTTTGAAATTTTGACCTTTTTCTGAAGATTTTCGCACTTTCGCTATAAGCAATTTTGTGTTGATTTCGACTTGTGGAATTCATTTTCGCCAAAATTTCTTCGAAAATTCCATAAAATTTTCCAGAACTTCAAAAATGTATAAAATATGGCCATTTATGGGAAATTTAAAAAAATTTATTTTGAAACCGAACATTTTGAAAATCTTGATCTGGTACCACCAACAGTTTTTTTTTTCCCAAATTATCTCGTTGTTATCTAAATCAAAAAAATATTTCTGGATTATTAGACAACTTTTCCAAAACCTCAAATTTTCAAAATCTTCACTTTCTGAAATTTTGACCTTTTTCCAAACACTTTCGCACTTTCCCTATAGGCAATTTTGTGTTGATTTCGACTTGTGGGATTCATTTTCGCCAAAATTTCTTTGAAAATTCCATCCAATTTTCCAGAACCTCAAAAATGCATAAAATACGACAATTTTTGGGAAATTTTAAAAATTTCATTTTGAAACCAAATATTTTTAAAATCTTGATCTAGTGCCATCAACAGTTTTTCTTTTTCCTAGATTATCCCGTTGTTATCTAAATTCCAAAATTGTTTCTGGATTATTAGACAACTTTTCCAAAAGCTCAAATTTTCAAAATCTTCACTTTCTGAAATTTTGTGTTGATTTCGACTTGTGGGATTCATTTTGGCCAAAATTTCTTTGAAAATTCCATCCAATTTTCCAGAAACTCAAAAATGCATAAAATACAGCAATTTTTGGGAAATTTTAAAAATTTCACTTTGAAACCGAAAATTTTGAAAATCTTGATCTGGTACCATGAAAAAATTTTCTCGTTGTTATCTAAATCCCAAAATAATTTCTGGAGTATTTATTAGACAACTTTTCCAAAAGCTAAAATTTTCATAACCTTCACTTTTTGAAATTTTGACTTTTTCCCGAACACTTTCGAACTTTCTCTATATGCAATTTTGTGTTGATTTCGACATGTGGAATTCATTTTCGCCAAAATTTCTTTGAAAATTCCATCCAATTTTCCAGAACCTCAAAAATGTATCAGATATGGCCATTTTTGGGCTATTTTAAAAATTTGATTTTTTTTTACCTTTTTCCTAGGACTTTTCGACTTTCAGAAGTCATTTGCAAAAGGAAGACTTAAAACTGATCCTTAACTCTATATTTTTCCATTAAAAAAAAAATTCAAATTTTCCCGCCAAAAAGTGATCTAGAAACCACACCACATACCAACGGTTAAAGTTAAATAAAATTAATAAAAACCACGCCATAAACGATTTTTAAAAATTACAAAAATAGATTCAAAAATGTCAACCTTCTAGAAGTACTTTCACCATTTCAAAAACAAGCCCTTTTTAGCTAAACCCCCAACACACCATTCCAACCCTCATCGACAACGGCACCACCATGTGGGACAGCCACGCCATCAACGCCTACCTGGTTTCCAAATACGCAAAAGACGACTCCCTTTACCCTAAAGACCTTTCAAAAAGGGCTATCGTAGACCAAAGGCTACACTTCGACAGCGGCCTCATTTTCAGCTGGCTTAGGAACATAGCAGTTCGTCCACCCTCAAATTAAGTAGTTATCCAAAATTATTTTCCTTTGAATTTTCAGAGAGGGATGAAATACAAAGGTCGCAAAGCCCTAACTTCCGAACAAATCGAAGGGCTCGAAAATGGCTACGGTCACTTGAACAATTTCCTTCGTGATAGCAAATGGGTCGCCGGTGAACACGTAACCATCGCGGATTTTAGTTTAATCGCCAATGTGACGTCACTGGACTTTCTGTACCCGGTGGACTCGCAAAGGTTCCCGAATGTGAGTGCGTGGATGAAAAGGGCCGAAGAGCTACCCTACTACGACGAAAATCGAGAGGGGCTGGAGAGTTTCAGGGTCATGTTTAGGGCACTGATGTCCTAAAATGTTGTTATATTTGTACACATATTGAGTGATAAATAAAAAGGGTTTTGAACTATTACGTGAATTATTAATGATTTTGACAACATCGAGATAACACACCGTATCACGTTTACACAAACACAATTATCTCCTTTGCGTAACTTGGTTGATAATAATTATAATTCAACACAATCATCGTCCTCAAGTTACCACAAATCGGTACTACCAACATGGCGCCGGTTTTGTACATGCAAGATTTTAGCCCTCCGGTGCGGTCCGTGCTTTTGACAGCCGAAGCCTTGGGGTTAAAACTGGAAAAAAAGGTGGTAGATCTGAGCAAAAAGGAACATTTGACCGACACTTTCTTAAAGGTAGTAGATTAACTAATGGAAGATATAGTGTCTCCAAAACAATTTTCTTGTAGCTCAATCCTCAACACACTATACCCACTTTGGACGACAATGGGACAATAATATGGGACAGCCATGCCATTAATGAATACTTGGTAGAAAAATACGGAAAGGACGATTCGTTGTACCCTAAAGATTTAGCTAAAAGGGCTGTTGTCAACCAAAGGTTGCATTTTGACAGTGGGGTCATCTTCAGCTGGCTTAGATATATTGCAGTAAGTAGCCTTAACACCAAAATAAAACAACAAAAAACTGGGTTTATTTTCTTGTTGTAGAGATCATATAAGTACAAAGGGCGTAAGGAACTAACTGAAGATCAGATTGAGCACCTGGAAGAAAGTTATTCTCTTTTGGAGTCATTTTTGAAAGGGCACCAGTGGGTGGCTGGAGATTCCGTGACCATAGCTGACTTCAGTCTTGTTACTAACATAACCTCGCTAACACTTTTGTATCCAGTGGATCCTAAAAAGTATCCTAACATTATCAACTGGATCAAGAGGGCGGAAGGGCTTCCGTACTATAAAGTGCATTTGGAGGGTCTTCAGAGCTTCAAGAAGATGTTCCAAGAGATGTTAAAGTGAATGCAGGTTTTAAATTATGTAACCATTGCATAAATATAAAACTTTGAAAAAATTATTTCTTTTTATTTTGGCTCCTCTACTTGTGCTTTATGAATCCGTGTTGACGTTTTAAGGTTATCGGAAACATGGTAAATCGATAATCAAAATTTATCCGTTCATGAATTTTTCGGGTTTTCAAGTTTCGACTTCTCAGTTTTTCGATATTTTTAGGTTTACTAATTTTAGTTTTTTGATTTGGAAAAATGAAAAACCAACAATTACAAACTTAAAAACCGAGAAATTGAAACATGGAAAACTGGGGCGCCGAAAGTCTGAAAAATTAAACAATATAATTGAAACTGAAAGTTGAAAAATCTTCAAACTGCAGGAATGAAAAATTGAAAAATCGAAAAGTGAAAAATTGAAAAATTACAAAATCTAATACATACTTGAATATTTGAAAAGGAAAAATTGCAAGATTCGAAAAAGGGCGAAAAGGACGAAAAAGGATAATCAGGACGAAAAAAGATAATAAGGACGAAAAAGGTCGAAAGGATGAAAAAGAATAATAAGGACGACGAAGGACGAAAAGGACGAAAACGGACGAAAAAGGACGAAAAAGGGCGAAAAATGACGAAACAGGATAATAAAGACGAAAACGGACCAAACAGGACGAAAAAGGGCGAAAAAGAACGACAAAGGACGAAAAGGGCGAAAAAGAATAATAAGGACGAAAAAGCACAAAGGACGAAAAGGACGAAAAAAGACGAAAAAGGATAATAAGGACGAAAAGGACGAAAAAGCACTAAAAAGGACGAAAAAGGGCGAAAAAGAACGAAAAAGGATGATAGGGACGAAAAAGGACGAAAGGACGAAAAAGGACGAAAAAGGACGAAAAAGGGCGAAAAAGGACAAAAAAGATAATAAGGACGAAGAAGGACGAAAAAGGTCGAAAAGGGCAAAAAAGGACGAACAGGACGAAAAAGGACGAAAAGGACGAAAATGGACGAAAAAGGACAAAACAGGACGAAAAAGGACAAAAAAGGACGAACAGAACGAAAAAGGACGAAAATGGACGAAAAAGAACAAAACAGGACGAAAAAGGATCATAAGCACGAAAAGGACGAGAAAGGATAATAAGGACGAAGAAGGACGAAAAAAGACGAAAAGGGCGAAAAAGAACGAAAAAGGATAATAAGGACGAAAAGGACGAAAAAGGACTACAAAAAACGAAAAAGGGCGACAAAGGACTACAAAAAACGAAAAAGAGCGACAAAGGATGAAAAAAAAAATAGGGACTAAAAAGGACGAAAGGACGAAAAAGGACGAAAAAGGACGAAAAGGACAAAAAGGGTTATAAGGACGAAAATGGATACCAAGGACGAAAGGGACGAAAAAGGACGAAAAAGGGCGAAAAAGGGCGAAAATGGATAATAAGGACGAAAACGAACCGAAAAGGACGAAAAAGGGCGAACAAGAACGAATAAGGACGAAATGGGCGTAAAAGAACGAAAAAGCATATTCAGGACGAAAAAGGACGAAAAGGACGAACAAAAAGGTTGAAAAGGACGAAAAAGGACTAAAGAACGAAAAAGGACGAAAAAGGATAATAAGGACGAAAAAAGAAGGAAAGGACGAAAAAGGACGAAAATGGTAATTAAGACGAAAAGAACGAAAAAGTACTAAAAAGGACGAAAAAGGGCGAAAAAGAACGAAAAAGGACGAAGATGGACGAAAAAGGACGAACAAGGACGAAAAAGGACAACAAAGGACGAACAAGACGAAAAAAGACGAAAAGGACGAAAATGAACGAAAAAGGACGAAAAAGGATCATAAGGACGAAAAGGACGAGAACGGATAATAAGCACGAAAAAGGACGAACAGTAGGAAAATGCGGACAAGGTCGAAAAAGGACAAGAAAGGACAAAAAGGACGAAAAAGGACGAAAAGGACGAAAAAGGACAAAAAGGACGAAAAAGGACGAATAAGGACGACAAAAGAACGAAAAAGGACGACAAAGGACAACAAAGGGCAAAAAAGACGAAAAAGGATAATAAGGACGAAAAAGGACGACGAAGGATAATAAGGACGAAAAAGGACGAAATGGACGAAAAAAAATAAAAATTCGACACATCTTAGAAAATCAATGATCAAAAATGAAAAACCTAAAAATTGTAACATTGAAACATCGAAAAACTTAAAAATTAAATAATTAAAAAATCTAATACATATTTTGTAAAATCTAAAATGTATAAAATCGTAAAATTGAAGAAACGGAAGATTGAAGGAACAAACATTAAAATGTGAAAAACAAAATTTCGCAATCTTGAGAAACTGAAAAAAATGAAAATTTATACTGTTTAAAAATTGAAAAATCGCAAATCGATAAATTGAAAGTCGAGAGACTAAAAATCTGGACCAATGGAACATCGAAAAGTTTAAGAACTGAAATTCGAAAAATTGAAAACTAAAAATTCAAAAATCGAAAAATAGTCAAAAACTAAGAAAAATCAAGAATTAGAATTTGAGAAACAAAACATCGCAACGTTGAGAAAAGATGAAAAATTAAAATATTTAAAAATTGAAACATTGCATCGGAAAATTAGAAATGGAGAGACTAAAAATGGAAAAATTGAAAACATTCAAAAAGTGAGGCTTCTAAAAACTAGAAATCGAAAAATTTGAATTCGACAAAGTAAAAACCCAAAAATATTCAAAAATTGGAAAAATCGAGAAAATAAAAAATTGAAAAATCGAAAAATTTCACCAAAAAAACATCGAAGAGTTTAAGACTCCGAGAAACTGAAAATCGAAAAATTTAAAAACTTATAAATTAAAAACTGAGAGACGAAAAGCCGCAAAATTGGAAAACAAGGAACAGTTCAATTGTCTAAATGTTGAAAAATCAAAAATATTAAATCGAAAAATAAAATTCGAAAAAAACTGAAACAATGCAAATCGAAAAATAAAAAATCAAGGGACTAGAAGTCGTAAAGTTGAAAACAACAAAAGTGAACCTTCCAAAAATTGGAAAAAATCGAAAAATTGAAAAATAGTAAAATTATAAAAATATTAAATCGAGAAAATAAGATTCGAAAAAAATTGAAAAACTAAGAATTAAAATTTGAGAAAGAAAACATCGTAACGATGAGAAAAAATGAAAACAGTGCAAAAGTGAAGCTTCTAAAAACTAGAAATTCGAAAAATTTGAATTTGAGAAAGTAAAAATCCAAAAATAATCATCAAAAATCGAAAAATTTAAAAATAGTAAAACTGCAACAATGGAACATCGAAAAGTTTAAGAACTGAAATTCGAAAAATTGAAAACTAAAAATTGAAAAATCGAAAAATTACAACAATGAAACATCGAAAATTTTATGAATTCGAGATTTTGAAAATAGAGAAATTGAAAACCTTGTAAATTAACAATTGAGCAAATAAAAATCGAAAAAAATTTAAAAACTGAAGAACCGAGAATCGAAAATTAGAAGAACTGAAAATTAAATAAATCAAAAATGAAAAACCTAAAAATTGCAAAATCGTAAAATTGATGAAAAGAAAAATCAAAAATGAAAATTTGCGAAACAAAACATCGCAATCTTGAGAAATTAACACACCGTATCACATTTACACAAACACAATTATCTCCTTTGCGTAACTTGGTCGATAATAATTATAATTCAACACAATCATCGTCCTCAAGTTACCACAAATCAGTACTACCAACATGGCGCCGGTTTTATACATGCAAGATGTTAGCCCTCCGGTGCGGTCCGTGCTTTTGACAGCCGAAGCCTTGGGGTTAAAACTGGAAAAAAAGGTGGTAGATCTAAGCAAGAAGGAACATTTGACCGACAATTTCTTGAAGGTACCATAGTAGATTTAGTAGTGGAAAGCAGTGTCTCCACAACAATTGTCTTGTAGCTCAATCCTCAACACACTATACCCACTTTGGACGACAATGGGACTGTAGTATGGGACAGCCATGCCATTAATGAATACTTGGTGGAAAAATACGGAAAGAACGATTCGTTGTACCCTAAAGATTTGGCTAAAAGGGCTGTTGTCAACCAAAGGTTGCACTTCGACAGTGGGGTCATCTTCAGCTGGCTTAGATATATTGTAGTGAGTGGTCTTAACACCAAAATAAAACAACAAAAAAACGTGTAATCTTCTGATTGTAGAGATCATATAAGTACAAAGGGCGTAAGGAACTAACTGAAGATCAGATTGAGCACCTGGAAGAAAGTTATTCTCTTTTGGAGTCATTTTTGAAAGGGCACCAGTGGGTGGCTGGAGATTCCGTGACCATAGCTGACTTCAGTCTTGTTACTAACATAACCTCGCTGACACTTTTGTATCCAGTGAATCCTGAAAAGTATCCTAACATCATCAACTGGATCAAGAGGGCGGAAGGGCTTCCGTACTATAAAGTGCACTTGGAGGGTCTTCAGAGCTTCAAGAAGATGTTCCAAGAGATGTTAAAATGAATGCAGGTTTTAAATTATGTAACCATTGCATAAACATCAAACATTGAAAAAATTATTTCTTTTTATTTTGGCTCCTCTACTTGTGGGTTATGAATCCGTGTTGACGTTTTAAGGTTATCGGAAACATGGTAAATCGATAATCAAACTTTATCCGTTCATGAATTTTTCGGGTTTTCGATGTTTCAATATCTCGATTTTTCAAATTCCGATTTCTCAATTATTCGATGTTTTTTGAGGTTTACTAATTTTAGTTTTTTGATTTGGAAAAATGAAAATCGAACAATTGAAAAATTAAAAACCGAGGAATTGCAAAATGGAAAACTGAGGCGCCGGAAGTCTGAAAAATTAAACAATATAATTGAAACTGAAAATTGAAAAATCTTCAAACTGCAGGAACGAAAAATTGAAAAATCGAAAAATTAAAAATTGATAGTTGAAAAATCGCAAAATTAGAAAGACGAAAAGTTAAAATGATTCGAAAAATTGAAAAATTACAAAATCTAATACTTGAATATTTGAAAAATCGAAAAATTGCAAATTCGTAAACTTGAAGAAATGAAAAAATGCAAGACTGAAAAAAAACGA